AGATCGCTTGTTTGCATTCCAACACTAACAACTCTTTAGAATGAATGAGCTGGGAGTTGAACCCATGATCATCTGTGCAGCAAATAAAAACGATTGCCACTAGGCCATCGAGATCGTTATTGTTTTTATGCATATAAAACAATCCTATTCCAATTGAGTTGTTGATTGTTGTTGTTATTATCGTTCAATATCTACAGTGGCGTCAACGACGATGACTGTCAAGCTAATTTAAACATTAGTAGGAAAACGACAGTAAAGAATCCATTCCGAATGAATGCCCTCCTGTCGCGAAAACGATGAAATCGACCAAACGAAAAATTAATAATATATTGGCCACGAGACCAAGACATGTCTCTGGCAAATTTAAGTTCGTTTTTGCCGACAAATTCTCCCAGCAGGATGCATGGCAACGAAATTTCGTGATTTCATCAGAAAACCATTTGAATGTTTTTTTTTTTTTTTAAAACGCAATAAATCCCGAGTTAGAGCTGATTTATTCCTTCCAAGTTATAACCTGGGGTCTCCCTTATCTCAATTGGTAAAGGCGCAGCTACAAAGCAAGACCGTGTTGGAGGTGGCTGGGTTCGATTCCCGGTCCGGTCTAGGAATTTTTCGGGTTGTAAAATTTCTCGACTTCCTTGGGCATACTTGCCACACAATTATACTAATGCAAAAATGGTACCAGGCATCGAAAGAAAGTTGATTAATAACTGGAGCAATAAGGCAATATGCGATATGCAATAAGCTTGAAATGCGATAAAGAAGAAGAAGAAGAATGACACATTTCATCCTGCGTAGTTGGCACTTTCATCACCACTACCGGTAATTTAATTAAATTATCCAATCTAAAACACTACATGATCGATCATGATCATGGCATCAACAAATTTAACGTGGAAACTAAACGTATCGCATAAACTAAATAAATTAAATTATCGCGTTCAATGCATGGATCAAATTGCGTTTGAACTGATCGACGGCTCTTACAACACTCCGTGATCGCGAAATCTATTCTTTTCACTCCAGTGCTGCCACATACAAATATTACTGTGTGATGGTACAGATTTTTAGACAATTTTATATTCTGAAATCTGTATTAAAATATACAGATTTATACAGATTTTGGGAAAATATCTACAGATGTATACAGATGGCTTAAGCAGAAAATTGAATAAATATTTATGGAAACTTAAATTTAGATGAAAAATGTGGCATCACTACGAGTCGGTACTGATAAAAAAATCTGCGTGACGGGCACTTTCATCAGGTAAAAAGTGAAATGGATCATTAAACAATGACGATATTCCTTAATATAAGGTGTCCCAGAATGTCTAAGCACGACTTTGGAACACCCTTGCTTGTTTCTGATGACGTTTAAATAGCTGATTATCGCTTTCGTGTATTGCAAGTGTCGGTTCTTTACATCGGAATCGGAGCCATTCGAAACGCGATTCGGAAGTATGGTGATGAAGCAACTTTCCAGGACAAGCAAAAATCTGGACGTAAACCGAGCCCTGCGTTGCGTTGCGTTGCGTTTGTAACGGAGTATTTCGTAGATTGCATACTGGTAATTGTCATGTATCAACTTTAACGTTCATATTCTGATTGCTTAAGGAAAACTATTTGGGAGTGAATAGTTCTCCAATCAAAGTTCAGAACAAGAAAAGCATGACAATTACCATTTCCGGCCATGCCCATCTTCTCCGTTACTGGGGAAAGAAAGGATATTGTTGATGTAGCATCTACTTAACGGGAGGCCAGTAAGCAAAAGCGGTAGCCACCAAGCTAGCCGAGCGCCTCAATTTAAATATTGGGACCTTATTTTGTGAAGTTAATATAATAATAATACTAAGAATATTGAAATATAATGTAAACAAATAAAAGTTAAAAGTCTCATCCGAATCAAATGATTCCAATCCTACGGATTCATAGAAATTAAGTTTAAATAGATAAAAGTAGAAAAAGGAACAATCTCACCAAATCAGTCCTAGTGATTTTTTTGCAAAAGCTCTGTCACGTTTGGTGTAGTAGTTCCGATCATAGACCCGCATTACGGGGATCAATCTTCTGGTCTAATAAAGTCGATTGCTCCAAGTGGAAGTGGCAACTTGCATCTCCTTGACGCGAACACGAAGCGACCGCTCATAAAATCATACAACGCATAAATAAACTGAAGTTAAAAACTATCACTCGCGATGCTACAAATTTCTGGACCGAGAGCAAAAGCGAAATCTAATTACAACTTCACAAAAGTCGAGAAAAAACGGAGGAAAAATTGACGGCTGAAAATTTTCCATGCCTCTCTTCCATCCAACTTGTTTTGGATTTTTTTGGACGTAAACCGAGCCCTGTTGACCAAAATCTGAACCGGAAAATCGTGCAAGCTTTCACTCGCAAGAAAAGTGCTTCGGTTCGAGACGTGGCTAAAAATGTGGGATTCTCGAAGAGTAACGTCCAGCGGGCCAAGGCAAGAATGGGCCTAAAGGCATATAAGAAGCAGATTACAAAACTCTTCCTGGTGATCAGTACTACACCGTTCGTGATGGCCGAAATGTTCGGTAAAAAGGTTATGGTTTGGCAAGCCATTTTTGAGAGTGGTATGCTCTCCAAAAAGTTTGTGACAACGGAGACAATGACAACCGATGTTTAAGTGCGTGAGTGTTTAAACAAGCGTCTGTTACCCATTATCCGCAAACACGACGCCTCAGTACTGTTTTGGCCGGGTTTGGGGTCGGTTAATTACTCCAAGGACAAGGTAGCCTGGTATAAAGCCAACAAGGTCCAATTCGTACCCAAGGAGATGAATCCGCCAAACTGTCCCCAGGCCAGGCCAATCAAAACTTTTTGGGCCCTGACCAAAGCACATTTGTGGAAACATGTGAAGGCAGTGGATTTCGTTACAAAGTTTGCGAAAGACTGGGAAAAAGTATCCAAAATTGTTGGAAAGGCATCTGTGTTGAAGCTAATGAGTAGCGTGAGATCAAAAATCCGCTCCTTGGCTTACAACTGATCGGATCTAGGATTTTCTACGTTTAACTGTAAGTGAATACTATAGAAAACATAAATACCAATTAAAAATCGAATTTGCTGTAAACAGTGTTATGTTATCGTTTTTTTTTAAATCGTGCCTAGACATTCTGGGACACCCTATAAGTAAAAAAAAATCTGCTTAAAATAGATCGTTTTGCTCCTTAAAAATCTTAAAATGCCCCGTAACTATTTAAACTACGCTCCGTAAAATAGAGAAAACTGTTCATTAAGCACTTGAAAATGCTCCTTAGTATGTATCACTTTCATCATCTCTTTCGGTCATCCACCTCAATCAACACAAACTGCCATGCCCAAACATTGCACGTTTGATCGCGATCACAGCATCTATTCTTTCCAAAAACGCAAGACACTCTGGCTCATCATAATCGAACAATCAGTTACCGAACTGAGGCCAGCTTCTGGTAGCGCTGTTATGAATCGAAAAATACACAAATTCGATTTTATATTTAAAATATCCTTTAAAATACAGCAATTAGTCTCAGTGCAGGAAACTTTTCTTTACGGTCACGTTGTATTTTAACGTAAAATCTAAAAATACGTTCTCTATTCTGTCACCCTAAGCCCGCATGCGGATGCAAAATGCATTGCAATATGTTAGTCACAACAAACGTAGTGCGGCACGTGCGGCAAGGTCGCTACCCCATGAAATACTTCCGGTTATGAGCCATTTGACACACATAACTATGTATGTATATACAGGAATCCATCGAATAGCACGGTCGGCGGTTTCGTCCACCCACCACAATTTCTTGGCTGATCACGATCCAATGTTGTATGTGATTAGGGTTAACTATAAACTTGTCACCTACAGAAAACTAGCTAACTAGGAAGACAACTGAGAAATTACGGTGGGTGGATGGCACCACGCACCGCGCTATTCAGGGGGCTCCTGTACGCACGTAACCCAGGATTCGATTCACGTTGCACTATACTGCAACCACTTGTTGCTCCTCAGTTGTTGACTGTTGGGAATCCCGTGCGCAAAGTTTGATTTATAGTCGGGTATCGATCCATTGTGGTGCATGATATGTACCAATGAACAGTAGAAGGACCAAATTCTTTAGGGTGTATTTTACCAGCAAACGACGACGACGAGAGCATTATTTCACTCCACCCGTGTTCCACTCATTTCCAAAAGCTTCACTGGTTCCACAGAGGATTTCGTGCGAAACTTAATACCACGGTTCCAGTCAGAGCTGTTTAATGACATGGAAAACAACAGTAAGTGAAAGACGACGGGTACCCTACATGACAAGTAAAGTGGCACAGTTGGCAAATCATAATTAGTGTCAAGGTAAAGGGGCTTGAAATTCTTGTACGTTTAATAAGTTTGGAAACTGCTTCTTCCTGTTTCTATTTTATTCACTATTTGAGGAAGTTATGCTTGTGTTGTTCCGGTTTGGTCAACCCGTTCAGAAAATTGGGGAAGATAAAGCAGCATTTGATTTATTTTTTTCAAATCAGAACGAAGGGTAAAGCAGTATGAAATGTCGTAGGGGAAATGGTTGGGCCACTAATTTGGGCCCATACGTAAATTCAGCAATTGACTAAATTTTCAAGAGCGACCAAAAATAGCCATTAGTACCGTCTCAATGACGCGTTGATCTATATAAAATTGATAAATAGCAGATTTTTAGCGATGGGCCAAATATTAGATCCATAGGCCAACATTTCCCTTACTTAAACATTTCATCTTGCAATTTGAATAGATTATGCTTAAAATGATACGAAAAAATCGAATAAATTTATCATAGAGTTATATGATACCCTGACACAGCACAATTAGTGCACTCTACCGTAAAAACCATACGACCCAGAGGGAATGGCCAGGGAATTCCAGAAGATCCCCCCTAGTTAGCATAATGTGTGTCCTTAGTTCTAACGTATTCAAATTTCTACCAAACGCTAATGGGCTATTATTTCAAAAATGTTCTTCTTTTATTTTTCAGCTCACAACCTTCCACGTCCAGCTTTCAGCATATGGCCCGGATGATGGACACGCTGATACTGGATAATTTAGCGCCGTTTGCATTCACCAAAATTACCACCACCCATCGGCCGTCAAGGATATCTGCAAACAACGGGCCTGGAGGTGCTCCGGGGGGTGTTGAAAATGGTTCTCGCGTTGGTGGTGGTGGCGGCGTTCCTATTATTGGTGGAGGTGTCAAGAGAGCAACCAGCACGTCCAACGTGGCCAGCTGCGGTGGTGGAGGAATCGGTGGTGGTGGCGGCGGCGGCGGCTCGATACGTGTCAACCTGCAGAAGAATAAAATTCCAACACAAGGTCAGCATAAAGATTATGCTACTTCTTCACCGGGCTTACAGGGTGAGGGCGCTGTTCTAGTTGTGCTAATTGTGTGCCGAGTGTGTGGTGGAGAGAAGGTTAATTTGAGCGTCTATCTGTTAAGATTTCACGAACGAACGTCGTCCGTCGGTGGCCCAAATACCTAAATTAACCGGCCAAAGCCGACGTTTTGCTTGGTGCTAGCTTGGCTTGAGACGTTCTTGGGGGGTGAATTTTACACCTTCTGGTTTCGATAACATTAACCCCAATTTCTTAGTCGATTATTATGGCGCGGCGTGGTTACATTCGTACACTTGAAGTCCGTTTGTTTTGATTGCCTGTGCTACTTTCGGCTAGTGCGAGCTGTTGACCTCAATTTGATTGGTTACATGCAATGGTACATTTTTCTGAGATGAATCAACCTTGGGCAGTCAAGATAATTAACTTAACTTCTAATATGGAGCTCGCATTCTGTCGGTCCAATTTTATTTGTTGATTATAGTATTGCGCATTTAATACCAAACAGGACAAATAAACGCATTTTCGCTTATTAAAAAGTGTGATAAAAGTGCTAGTTTTATTCTAATCGTCTTGGTGTCTTCGATGCACTTTTTTTTTCTTATGATGCTTAGTGCTCCGAGGACACCAAAACAATTTGACGGAAACATACACTTTTATCGCACTTTTTGCATTTTTATTACAGTTCAGTGTTAAATGCAATCAACAATGCTATTTGCGATATTCTTTTTTGCTGAAAAGTAGACAGTTATGTTATGTTTTATTCTATCAAAGTTTAAGAATTATTCCTTAGTATTATTCAAATTCCTGGGGCTGGAAAGGAAGCTTTTAGGCAAATTTGGCTTATTATTCACATTGACTCGTCTGCCATGGAATGATCCAGTAAACCTTCTGGACTACGCTGCTCAATGTTATGGGCGTTATAACAAGAAAGTTACCAATATTGCTAGGATTATTCGTTAAACAACATCAATTGATAGTTTCTAGTTGTATTCAGTTGCAATTCCAACGTTGGCTTTGTTCATTGCCTGTAGCTCGGTCAACGCCTTTTGGCGTCGTCGTTGGAAGCAAAACTTTTGACAATGGTTGAAACAAAGTGTACCCTTTGTTTTGCCTATTCAAATCGAAGTTCGAAGCCCACCATGGACAAGGTTGCCAATTTAGTGAAATCACTGGATTCGAATCCCGCTGACATGGATGGCACGTATCGGATAGCGGAGGAGAAGGCGATCTTCATCAAGTTCAAATCTGAAACAGGTATGCATTATGCCCTGATGCATAATCCGGAGCAGTGTTGGGAAAATATCAAAAAATCAAATCTCACCAACGCCCAAGATCACGCTTTATTTTCGTAGACAAAAATCAACAAGCAAACAACAGCGGTTGATTTTGCAAGCTGTGATAGCGCAGCTCGGAATATCAAGCTAACAAAACTCATCAACTGCAAATATCACCAAAACTTGGTGAGATTGAGTTTAATTTTTTTTTTTTTTTTTTTTTTTTTTTTTTTTTTTTTTTTTTTTTTTTTTTTTACTCTTTATTTGTTCCAAATTCAAAATAAATTACATTTCATTTTTAACCTAGGTGCTCCAGTTACTACAGTAACTTACCAGCCTTAATTGTTATGATATATATCTAAGTGTTTTTACATTGTTCCTGTCTTGGCAATTCAGTATTTTAAACAGGTTTTTTAAACCTGCATGTCAGTATAACAATTGATAGCTTAAAACTAAATAACTAAAACTAAATCTTATCTAAGTATAAAGGGAATTAATCGTTGCAATTGAGGATTGTAACGATTTTTGCCGGAAATTATTAATTATTTTGTTGGACATTTGTGCTAAAGTCTCAACATTCGAAATTCTATGTACTTCGGTAGTACTGAACCAGGGAGGCAACTTCAAAATCATTTTCAGAATTTTGTTCTGAATCCTTTGAAGTGCTTTTTTCCTGGTAGTGCAACAACTAGACCATATTGGCACAGCGTAAAGCATGGCCGGTCTAAAAACTTGTTTAAATATTAGAAGTTTATTCGTCAGGCAAAGTTTGGATTTCCTGTTTATAAGAGGATACAAACATTTTATATATTTGTTACATTTGGCTTGAATGCCCTCAATGTGATCTTTAAAAGATAATTTATGGTCAAGTATTAATCCAAGATATTTCACTTGGTTTGACCAGGAAATTGGAACTCCGTTCATAGTGACTATGTGACTACTACTAGGTTTCAAAAACGAAGCTCTAGGCTTATGTGGAAATATTATAAGTTGAGTTTTGGAAGCGTTGGGAGAAATCTTCCATTTTTGTAAATAAGAAGAGAAAATATCTAAACTTTTCTGAAGTCTGCTGCAAATAACACGAAGACTTCTTCCTTTAGCGGAAATGCCTGTGTCATCAGCGAACAAAGATTTGTGGCAACCCTGAGGCAAATCAGGGAGGTCCGAAGTGAAAATGTTATACAATATAGGCCCAAGAATGCTACCCTGAGGAACTCCTGCTCTAACAGGTAGTCGATTAGATTTGGAATTTTGATAATTTACCTGCAGAGTTCTGTCAGTTAAATAATTTTGAACTAATTTCATAATGTAAAGTGGAAAATTAAACTTTTTCAATTTAGCAATCAAACCTTCATGCCAAACACTGTCGAATGCTTTTTCTATGTCTAGAAGAGCAACTCCAGTTGAGTGGCCTTCAGATTTGTTTGAACGAATTAAATTGGTAACTCTCAAGAGTTGATGAGTAGTTGAATGCCCATGGCGAAATCCAAACTGCTCATCTGCAAAAATTGAGTTCGTATTGATGTGAAGCATCATTCTCTTCAAAATTATTTTTTCAAAAAGTTTACTTATTGAAGAAAGCAAACTTATTGGACGGTAGCTAGAAGTTTCAGCTGGATTTTTATCCGGCTTCAAAATTGGAACAACTTTTGCATTTTTCCATTTATCAGGAAAGTATGCCTGATATGTAAACATCTGTTAAATAATTTTACCAAGAAAGACAAGGTACTCTCTGGGAGTTTTTTGATGAGGATATAGAAAATTCCATCATCACCTGGAGCTTTCATATTTTGAAACTTTTTAGTTATAGACCTTACTTCGTTCAAATCAGTCCCCCAGGAATCATCAAAAATATTTTCCCGAGAGAAAATATTCCGAAAATCCCGAGCAACCTGATTCTCAATAGGACTAGTAAGACCCAAACTGAAATTATGGGAACTCTCGAATTGCTTAGCAAGTTTCTGAGCTTTTTCCAAATTTGTGATCAAAATTTTACCACCTTCTTTAAGCGCTGGAATTGGCTTTTGAGGTTTTTTCAAAATTTTGTGAGTTTCCAAAAGGGTTTGGAACTCGGGTCTAATTTAGAAACATTATTTTCAAAAGTTTTGTTCCTCAGGGCAGAGAATCGCTTTTTAATTTGTTTTTGCAAATCCCGCCAGATACCTTTCATGGCAGGATCGCGTGTTCTTTGAAATTGTCTCCTACGGACATTTTTAAGACGGATCAAGAGCTGAAGATCATCGTCTATTATAATTGAATCGAATTTAACCTCGCATTTTGGTACTGAGGCAACTCTTGCTTCAACTATAGAAGTAGTCAGAGATTCAAGAGCATAATTAATTTCATCTTTGGTTTGCAAAGGAATGTTTGGATCGAAGTTATTATCCATAAATGTTCGATATTGCTCCCAATCAGCTCTATGGTAATTGAAAATAGAACTGTTGGGAATAAAAATTATTTCTTGGGATATTTCAAAAGTTACTGGAAGGTGATCAGAACCGAAGTCAGCATGGGTAACCAATTGGCTACAAAGATGACATGAATCAGTTAAGACCAAATCAATAGTTGAGGGATTTCTTGCAGAAGAAAAGCATGTTGAGCTGTTTGGATATTGAATAGTGTAATAACCTGCAGAACAATCATCAAACAGAATATTACCATTGGAATTGCTTTGAGCATTATTCCATGAGCGGTGTTTTGCATTAAAATCACCAATAATGAAGAATTTAGATCTATGACGGGTAAGTTTCTGGAGGTCACCCTTGAGAAAATTCTTTTTCTGGCCTACGCATTGGAATGGCAAATAGGCAGCTATAAACGTAAGTTGTCCAAATTTTGTTTCAACAGAAACTCCCAAAGTTTCAAAAACTTTGGTTTCAAATGAAGAAAGAATTTTATGTTTGATTCGTCTATGAATAATGATGGCAACGCCACCACAGGGTCCATCAAGACGATCATTTCTATAAATCAAGTAATTTGCGTCCTTCTTAACCTTATGGTCAGGTTTAAGGAACGTTTCAGTTATAACGGCAATATGCACGTTATGAACTCTCAAAAAATTAAATAGCTCGTCTTCATTATCTTTAAGAGATCGAGCATTCCAATTTAAAATGTTTAATGCTTTAAAATCCATTACTGAATTTTAAAGTCATGACAATATTATTAGCAAATTTTACTCCAGTTTGAATAGCATCAAACATGGAGTTAGATTTAAGCATATCAGAAATCATGTCAATTAATGAATTCTGTAAAAATTCCATTTTAGGGGCAGTAATGCTTCCTAAGTCAAAATTGTCAAAATTTCCGTTAGAACGTTGGTTAGTATTTTGATTTCTACCCGCTGCAATAGCAGCATAGGTAGCTCCAATAACTCGCTGAACATTGTTAGCAGCGAGGGGAGTAGGTACAGATGAAACATTTGAAGCAGGGGTGATATTTGTACCTACGGGTACGAATGTAGAATTTGTTCCTCGCTGACCGTTGTTAACAGCAGAGGAATTTGTACCTGGTCGGAAACGTGGAGCGTTTCCTACCTGTCGGTTAGAACGAGATTGTAGGATCGCTTTGCGAGTCTTACATTCCCAAAAATTGGATTTGTGGTTTTCACCACAATTTGAACATTTAAATTTCTTAGGATCTTCCTTCACAGGACAGTCGTCCTTTGCGTGAGAGGAATCACCACAATTCATGCATTTAGCTGGCATGTAGCAATTTTTTGTTCCGTGACCCCATCCCTGGCACTTACGG